AGTGAGGATAGAGGAGGGCGTCTCGTCGCCGCCTTCTCCTCCTATCGTAACGGAAAGCAGCTCCTCCTTTGGTCCCACCCTCATCCTCTCTCACCCTACCACCTCCCCCGTTCTCCAACTTCTGCCTGCTACGCAACTCCAGGTAGACCTGACTATGGATACTTCGGTGGATGCAATGATGCCCTACCATTCATCGACAGCCAGCAGCAATGCGGAACCCAGCGAGCCTGTCTACTATGCAGAGAACCGTCGTTGGTACTATCTGGCTCTGCCTTCCCAAATCTCTGCCGGGTTGCCACTCCTGCGCTGTGGCGTCCTTCTACAAACTTGCGGACACGCGGTTCACAAGGAGTGTTTCCAACGCTATCGAGCTCAGGTACGGTCCAGTCTTTTCTGCCTCCGTTGGCACACTATTTCGGACCTCTGGTAGCCCGACTATATCTTTGTTTGCATGCCTTTCAGCAGTCTTGTACTACGTAAGCTTTATTCGTAGGTATGGCTACTAGTATTAACAGTCTCAGCATTGACATGCTACATATATCAGCAGTTTCCTACTCTTCGTAGTCCGAAACTCAGTAAAGCCTGACACAGCTTTGGTGGATTGAGGTAAGAGCGCGGAAATCAGGGCCCACCATGATGTGCTCCGGGCACAAACATGTATTATTCGGAATAGTATAAATCCAGGTTCGCATTCCTAGTTGACTAGAGCGGACATGAGCCTCAGCGTTTACCCAAATCAGTTTTAACTTTGACTTATAACAACGACAGATATAGTAGCAGTACTACTAGCACTCCACTAAATTGCCAGTTAATAGCAGTGTAGGAAGACGGTATCCTGCGATTATGCTTTGTCAATCGCAAGCTAGATGTTGTAGTGGGCATGTAACTAGCCTAAAGGCGGCAAACAGCACTACGTTACAACATAAAGGTATGGTAGAATTTGAGCTATTTATTTAATAAAGCTTTGTTTTAACCCAGGAAACTATTTATCCTTACCTCATATAGATTGGGTGCGCATACTGAGTGTTTTAGTATGTATGATTACTAGAATTCGCGCTTTAGCATAGACACGTACTTATAGCAGTAGTCCTTGAGTCCTCGTAGCCCAAACCTAGTAGAAACGGACACAGTCTGGTAGATAGAATTGGAAGAGCGGAAACAAAGTCAAGCCCTGATGTGCTCAGGGCCTCAAACATGTATTTACTCGAAATAACATAAACCCATTTTTCACACTCCTTGTTGACACCAAGAGGATATGAGCTCCAGCGTCTGAGCAGACGCGTCTTCGACCGCGTTCCCACCCGCCCTCACGGCGGCCAAGG